CACTCTGTGTATGAATCTGAAGTCAATCGGATGATAACTTTAGCTTCTAGAGGGTCACAAGATTTTTCAAAGTGATCAAGGGCCATAACTTTGGCAGTAATTATCGGAAATCGTTGAAAATCAATATGATTCTTCGTCTTATGACCTCAAACACTCTGTATCAATTTAAAGTCAATCGGATATTAACTTTAGCATCTAGAGCATTTACAAGATTTTATGAAGTGATCAAGGGCCATAACTCTGTCAGTAATTATTGAAAATCGCTGAAAATGAATAAACTTCTTTGTCTCATGACCTTAAACACTGTGTATAAATTTAAGCTCAATCGGATATTAACTTTAGCCTCTAGAGCGTCCACAAGATTTTTCAAAGTGATCAAGGGCCATAACTCTGGAAGTAATTATCGGAAATCGCTGAAAATCAATAGGATTCTTCATCTCATGACCTTAAACACTGTGTATAAATTTAAAGTCAATCAGATATTAACTTTGGCCTCTAGAGCGACCACAAGATTTTTTGAAATGATCAAGGGCCATAACTATGGCAGTAATTATCGGAAATCCCTGAAAATCAATAGGCTTCTTCGTCTCATGACCTTAAACACTGTGTATAAATTTAAAGTCAATATCAAAAATCGCTGAAAATGAATAGACTTCTTCGTCTCATGACTGTGTATAAATTTAATGTCAATCGAATATTAACTTTGACCTCTAGAGTGTCCACAAGATTTTTTGAAGTGATCAAGGGCCATAACTCTGGCAGTAATTATTGAAAATCGCTGAAAATGAATAAACTTCTTCGTCTCATGACCTTAAACACTGTGTATAAATTTAAGCTCAATCGGATATTAACTTTAGCCTCTAGAGCGTCCACAAGATTTTTCAAAGTGATCAAGGGCCATAACTCTGGAAGTAATTATCGGAAATCGCTGAAAATCAATAGGATTCTTCATCTCATGACCTTAAACACTGTGTATAAATTTAAAGTCAATCGGATATTAACTTTGGCCTCTAGAGCGACCACAAGATTTTTTGAAATGATCAAGGGCCATAACTCTGGCAGTAATTATCGGAAATCCCTGAAAATCAATAGGCTTCTTCGTCTCATGACCTTAAACACTGTGTATAAATTTCAAGTCAATCGAATATTAACTTTAGCCTCTAGAGCGTCCACAAGAAATTGTGGACGCCGGACGGACGGGGACGACAACAATATACAACCACATTTCAATGTGGGCGTATAAAAACGGCCGATAGAACACAAACTTTTTTTGATCCTTTTATTCCTCCGTTCATGGTTGTTGTCTTTTACAATTATAAGGTCCAATACATTATTGATTATAATATGGACAATAATAATAATAATGTATATTTGTAATGCGCTTAATAATCCATACATTAAAAACACACATAAACAATCTGTTTCTAATCTGGATAATAGAGTTAAACAAATGAGTTTTTAGTTGTGACTTAAAGATTGTGAAAGTCTGAGATTCTTTAATGTTTACTGGTAACTGATTCCAAAGGCGAAGTGCAGCACCACTGAAACTTTTATCACAAAATTGTTTTAGTTTTGTTTTGGGAACAGTAAGTATATTTTTGCCATGTGACCTTAGCGCACGTTTGGGTTTATAGTTTGTCAAAAGTTCTGACAAATATAAGGGAGCAAGATTATTTTGACATTGATACATTAATGACAGAACTTTATACTGAATCCGGGGTTCGACGGGCAACCAGTGAAGAGACTTTAACACTGAAGTTATGGATGAATATTTTGAAGTTCTTGTTACAATCCTGGCAGCGATGTTCTGGATTCTCTGTAATTTATTTGTAAGTGTTTGGGTGAGTCCGAAGAGCAGACTCTTTACATAATCAATACCGGACAGTGTTAGCGCCTGAACTAGTGTTTTAGCAGCATCAGTCGTGATCAGGTGGTGAATGTTTCTGATGCAATGTATATGATAGAAACATATACGGCACAATTCATCAACGCGAGTTTCCATAGAAAGTGTGGACTCTAGGAAAACACCAAGGGTTTTCAGGCTGACAGAGAAGTCGATCATTGAATCCCCAATTTTTGTATTCTTTTCTGTTATTTTCCGTAGTTTTTTACAGGTTCCAACTAACATAGCTTCAGTTTTTTCATCATTTAATTTTAGGCAGTTGTTTGTCATCCAGGACTTAATGGACTGCGAACATGCTGCTGTCGATTTAAGGATTCTTTTATTTGAGTGTGGATGAAAACGTCAATTAGCTGTGTATCATCGGCGTAGGAATAATGTTGGATACAATTATGTTGGTCAGTAGTTATACCAAGGTGATTCAAAAGAATTTTATGATCAACGGTATCAAAAGCTGCTGATAGGTCAAGTAAGATTAAAGAAGCTGTTTTACCATCATCAACAGCACATCGCAGATCATTTACTACTCTAAGAAGTGTAGTTTCTGTGCTGTGGTTGGGTCGATATGCAGACTGAAACTTGTCAAGGAGATCATGTGTTGAAAGGAAGGAACGCAATTTAATATTAACTGCTTTCTCCACAATTTTCGATAAAAAGGACAAGTTTGAGACTGGACGATAGTTTTTGAGTACGTTAGGATCCAGTGATTCATTTTTAAGTAGTGGCTTTACAATAGCTTGTTTCAGTATGTCCTGAAATACTCCGGTTGTCAGACTAGCATTTAAAAGTGACGTTATTATGGTAATTAAAACATCCAAGTATTCGAGCAGAAGTCTGGTTGGAATTGGGTCTAAAGAACATGTGGTTTTCTTTGAAAATTTTGCTTGATTTCAAATGTACAAGCAAAACTAGGATTCTGAAGAAATTCAAGGGGCAATAGTGATTATATCGTCATGTGGACGTATATTATCGTCGCCCCTGTCCGTCAGTCCATCCACAATTACAATTGTTTGTGGACACTCTACAGGTCACAATTCTTATCCGATTTTGACGAAACTTGAAATATAGGTTTATCCTCTAAAGAACTCGGTGATTTCGATATTGGCATGTATTTGACCGAAATTTCATGGATTATGGCCCCTGATTGTATGAAAGAAAGGTTGCCAGGCAACAAAACATACGCCCACAGCAGCTAAATTGTACGGACAGTCAACAAGTGTTGTCACATATTTTTACTTTTTTCGGTAATGAAACATTTATAATACACTAAAACTTTTTCAAAGTGATCAAGGGCCATAACTTTGGCAGTAATTAATCGAAAATCTTTGAAAATCAATAGGATTCTTCGTCTCATGACCTCAAACACTGTGTATAACTTTAAAGTCAATTAGATATTAACTTTGGCCTCTAGAAAGTCCACAAGACTTTTTGAATTGATCAAGGGCCATAACTCTGGCAGTAATTATCGAAAATCACTGAAGATCAATAGGCTTCTTCTTCATATGACCTTAAACACTGTGTATTAATTTAAAGTCAATCAAATATTAACTTTGACCCCTAGAGTGTCCACAAGATTTTTTGAAGTGATCAAGGGCCATAACTCTAGCAGTAATTATCGGAAATCGCTGAATCAATAGGCTTCTTCGTCTCATGACCTTAAACACTGTGCATAAATTTAAAGTCAATCGGATATTAACTTTGGCTTCTAGAGCGTCCACAAGATTTTTCAAAGTGATCAAGGGCCATAACTCTGGCAGTAATTATCGTAAATTGCTGGAAAATCAATTGGCTTTTTCGCCTCATGACCTTAGGCACTGTGTATAAATTTAAAGTCAATCGGATATTAACTTTGGCCTCCAGAGCGTCCACAAGATTTTTTGAAGTGATCAAGGGCCATAACTCTGGCAGTAATTATCGGAAATCACTGAAAATCAATAGGATTCTTCATCTCATGACCTTAAACACTGTGTATAATTTAAAGTCAATCGAATATTAACTTTAGCCTCTAGAGCGACCACAAGATTTTTTGAAATGATCAAGGGCCATAACTCTGGCAGTAATTATCGAAAACTGCTGAAAATGAATAGACTTCTTCGTCTCATGACCTTAAACACTGTGTATAAATTTAAAGTCAATATCAAAAATCGCTGAAAATGAATAGACTTCTTCTCATGACCTTCAACACTGTGTATAATCGGATATTAACTTAAGCCTCTAGAGCATCCACAAGATTTTTCAAAGTGATCAAGGGCCATAACTCTGGCAGTAATTATCAAAATTCACGGAAAATGAATAGGTTTCTTCGCCTAATGACCTTAAACACTGTGTATAAATTAAAAGTCTGGCCTCTAGAGCGTCCACAAGATGTTTTGAAGTGATCAAGGGCCATAACTCTGGCAGTAATTATTGGAAATCGCAGAGAATCAATAGACTTCTTCGTCTCATGGCCTTAAACAATTTTCTTCTAATTTTGATGAAACTTGAAATGGAAGTTTATAACCCTAAGATCTCAGTTCCTTTCAATATTCGCGCATATCGGATTGAAACTTCCTGAATTATGGCCCCTGAAAAATCGTGTTTTTAGCTAGAGGTCCCGCTAGAGGTCACAATTTTTATCCGATAAAAAAAAGGTTTGGATATATCACCTTTACACCCTAAGAATGGGTGAATTCGTATTTCGTAAAAATCAGACCAAAACTGATAGACAAAATGGCCGCCCCTCCTACTCAAATAGCGTAAGAGTATGGTATATCAAGGTTATGGATTCGCCAGAGGTGACAATTTTGTTCTGATTTTGATGAAACTTGAAATGTAAGTATATAACCCAAAGATCTTGGTTCCTTTCGATATTTGCGCATATCGGATTGTAAATTCCTGAATTATGGCCCCTGATTGTACGAGAAATCGCTTTTTGTTTAGCTTGTTCTCTATCCATCTCTTGCAAAATGTGGGCGTATCCTGCCTGGCACCTGCTGGTCTTCATGGCAATCCCTGTTTAATCATATCAATCCAATAATATCTACTAATAGTGAAAAATAAATAAGCAGATAATGAAGTTCATTGATTTTAAATGCTCATAAAAAAAAAAGTGACTACATACCTATGAACATCAACCTGTGAAGCTGGATTGAGTAAAACGGGTTGACCTAGTTGTACACTAGCTTGTACGGGGGACAGCTGATTAACACCAGCCTGTCGCGGGTAAAAATTGAGGTTATTTGGTCGAGAACGTTGACTGGAGCTTGGGGCTAGATGACTAGAGCTAGACGGAAAAGCATTCTTATTGCTCGGATGATTTTGCACGGATCGAACTGTAGGTGAAACATATGCTAGTTTACCCTGAGCTGCGGCGGCTGAAACCTCAATCTCCAAAGGAAATCGTATTTCTTGTTTAGGTGTTCGTGCCCTGGATGCTTCTCCAAGTGACCAGTTTTCCTGCTTTGGAATGTTTGCCATGTAAGGGGATACTTTGGCTTGCTCCCGCATCTTACGGGAGGAGTCTGAAAAATAGGGTGGAGCGAAAGCGGTGGACGTCGACACTTGTTGGCTTGATGATGCCATCCGGTTTCCATAGATACAGTTCCTTTCGGAACTAACGGAAAGATCTTCATGCTTTATTGGAGTATACACAATCTTCTTTTTCCTAGAAGCCAAACTGTTTTCTTCTATATCAGAATCGTGGCCATCGGTTACCGTAACACAACTTATGTTTCTGGGATTGTGAGTGATGCCTGTAATACAAAGTAGGATCAAATCAAATTTCAAGTGAGGACTTATTTCACAAGTATTATCCTCTGATTAAATTCTAACGGGTTGCTGTCATATTAAAATAATAAAAGTAAGGGTAATATATTACCGAAAGGCTGTGTAGCTGACTGAGACAATGTAATATCACTACGGCTATGAACCATTCCATGTGTTGATCGTTCCCCATTTGTTCTTCCACTGAAAATATAAAATAACAGTACTAATGAACTTATATTATATTTAACTACGTTCTGTTTGTGAATTTTCATCTTAAATTTGTGTTAAGCCAGACTTCACAATTCTATCAGCTCTTATCTAGGATCTCTTATTTTGAAGTTGCACTAGGGATTTGGTATCGTTTAGAACGGGGGTTTTAGCGCTGGAAAGTATGCATATAGTTTACTTTCAAAACATCGTTCGATAATTGATCAAAATTGTTTAAGAATTACAAAAGTGGTTTAATTAGTACTCTGGCTTAGTTTAATGGTAACAGGTTTAGTTTCTCCGAGAGGCGTTTATAAATTGACGACCCGTTCACTTATTTACGGCATTTATTTATTAGACGAGCAGTTCAGTTTCCCGAGATACGTTGAAAAATCAACACACGGTTTACTTATCTACGGCCTTTACTTATTAGATGATCCGTTGACTTTCCCGAGATACGTTGAAAAATCAACACACGATTGATTTATCTACGGCGTTGAACTATTAGATAAACCTTTTATCAACCCAAGTAGGGTTGGGCGATATACCGTTTTTTTGGTATATCGTGATAAAATCCTCGGCGATTTTATCATATCGGACTGATTTAAAAATATCGAAAAACCGGTATATCGTGATAACCAAAATTATCACGATATGATAATTATCATGTCCCAAAATTTATGACAATATGCTATATCATACGAATTCGAAATTGCAATGCGAGAGGTCATGATTGATGCAAGACTCGTTATCGAGGAACAGGTGTTTGGCAAGGTCAAGGTTGGACAGTAACATATTTCTCAGGGTATAAGTCGATACTTTCTGCGAAAGTCGGGCCTGATCATCTTATAGTCTGCATTGACTTATATATCGATGAAGGTAAAAAAAAAGATAGGTTGCCAGGCAATGAAACATACGCCCACAGCAGCTAAATCGTCTGTGCAGTCAACAAGAGTTGTCGCATATTCTTACTTTTTTCGGTAATGAAACATTTATAATACACTAAAATCTGATTAAGAGCAACAACTCATGAAGTAATTATCAGAAAACCATTAGAATTTGTTTGGTTTTTATAAAGTTCTGCCCCATGCTTACGTTTCGTATACAAAACTTTCAATATCATGGATTTGTTCAAGTCATAAAGATTCATTGAAAATCAATATACTTGTTCGTCTCAAGATCTTAAACTCTGTGTATCAATCTTAAGTCAATCGGATGATAACTTTAGCCTTTAGAGCGGAAATCGTTGAAAATCAAGGACCATAACTCTGGCAGTAATTATCGGAAATCGCTGAAAACCAATAGGCTTCTTCGTTTCATGACCTTAAACACTGTGTATAAATTTAAAGTCAATCGAATATTAACTTTGGCCTCTAGAGCATCGACAAGATTTTTTGAAGTGATCAAGGGCCATAACTCTGGCAGTAATTATCAGAAATCGCTGAAAATCAATAGGATTCTTCGTCTCATAACCTCAAACACAGTGTATAAATTTAAAGTAAATTGGTTGGATATTAACTTTAGCCTCTAGAGCATCCACAAGATTTTTTGAAGTGATCAAGGGTCATAACTCTGGAAGTAATTATCAGAAATTGTTGAAAATCTATAGGTTTCTCTGTCTCATGACCTTAAACACTGTGTATAAATTTTAAGGTCGATTGGATATCAACTTTGGCCTCTAGAGCGTCCACAAGATTTTTCAAAGTGATCAAGGGCCATAACTCTGGCAGTAATTATTGGAAATCGCTGAAAATCAAAAGGTTTCTTCGTCTCAAGACCTTAAACACTGTGTATAAATTTAAAGTCAATCAGATATTAAATTTAGCCTCTAGTGCTTGTGGACGCCGGACGGACGGGGGCGACGACAATATACGACCAAATTTCAATGTGGGCGTATAAAAATCGGTAAATCACGTCCCAGGTAATTATACAACTGGAAATCGGTAAATCACGTTCCAGGTAATATATCTTTTTTAAATCACAAATGAATTAACTAGTCTTCCATCTGTACACGTGGTCATAAGTCAAGCTTACAATGGAAGTGCGATAATCCCGCGAGACTGTACATTAGACTGGCGCCAAAAAACGTCACTGTCAATCTCCATAGACAAGCTGTCGTTCATTTTCAGACAGCGTAATTACTTGATTGGGGGCTTCTGTGCAATTTGCTTAGTTGATTATTGGGTACAGATGTTAAATTTTGGTACTGATTCAAAATCAACATTCCCGAAAAAGAAAACGGTTTATAAATAAAACAGAACATATATTTAGCTATGATAATCTAATAACAAAAACCAATTGTATGTATTTATATGTATGTACACTAAATACTAACCAGCGGCTGCCAGGCAGGATACGCCCACATTTTCGAGAGATGGATAGAGAACAAGCTAAAAAGAAAGTGATTTCTCCTACAATCAGGGGCCATAATTCCGGAAGTTACGGTCCAAAGGAAACGAGATCTTTGGATTATAAACTTACATTTCAAGTTTCAACAAAATCGGATAAAAATTGTGACCTCTATAGTAACGTGATTTTTTCAAAGAAACAGGGGCCATAATCCATAAAGTTTCGATCCGATACATGCCAATATCGAAAGCAGCCGAGATCATTTGGAGATAAACCTATATTTCAAGTTTCGTCAAAATCGGATAAGAATTGTGACCTGTAGAGTGTCCACAAACAAATTGTGGACGGACGGACAGGGGCGACGTCAATATACGTCCACATGAAAATGTGGGCGTATAAAAACAATCACAAATAACAGCATGAATACTAAAAACACAACACTGGAAAACAATCACTGGTTTATAAATAAAGAAATAGCAGCATGCACCAAAAGAAATCAAAATTGGAAAACAATCAACGGATTTATATATAATTTAATAACAAAAAGCAAATTGTATGTATTGATAATGTAAATGAACCATTTAAATCATATGCCACAGTCTGTTAAAATTGTTAATAAAAATCTGTATCTTTAAAAATCTTCCGCTCAATCAAAATTCAGAGCCAAGCCAAACTAAGCCAGAGTTATTTTAGTATTCAAAATAAATGCAACTTTTATGTTATGAAAGTAGTCTTTTAACTACGATTATCATATTAAGTGTGAAATAGCTTTATTTAACGCCCACTTCTAACGAAGTGATATCGCAGACAATTATCATATTAGTCACTTATCTCCTCTTAATCTATATTCCCATACACATTAATTACAGAAAAGGCCTGTGTATACACGGTATTATGAGCTATTCACCTTTTGGTCAGCTGATTGTTATTCGGAATATAGGATGGAGTCATAAATGAACGTTATTACAGTATAGATTAATTTATTGAATGGTCGAATGCTATTGTTTTATTAATTCACACCTGGGGTCAAGTGCCTGGGTGCCATATGAAACCATGTTTTTGAATATACATGGTTTAATTCTTTGATTGGTCGAATGCTATTGTTTTATTAATTCTCACCTGTCTGGTTGCCATACAAAATCATGCCTTTGAATGTACGGTTGAGTCATAAATATCCCTTTTTTATTAACATTAATTATTTGATTGGTTGAATGCTATTGTTTTATCAATTCCCACCTGTAGTTACCAGCCGGGTGCGGGTCAGTTCATCCCACAACCATTTCACCTGGGACTGTTTCAAGTTTCAAGTTTTTATTACCCTTGAGTCCCAGACTCATTGGGAAAAACAAAAATATTTACAAAATATTTACAAAACAAAAAGATAGGTTGGCAGGCAACAAAACATACGCCCACAGCAGCTAAATATTTACAAAACAAAAAGATAGGTTGGCAGGCAACAAAACATACGCCCACAGCAGCTAAATAGTCCGAGCAGTCGACAAGGGTTGTCACATATTTATTATTTTGTAGGTAATTAGGGGAATTTAATAGACAATTTCATACAGATGACATTATAATTTTCGTTGTTTGAAGGTTCACAAAGTTCTAAAAACTAAAACAAGGGCCGTAACTCTGGAAGCAATCTACAGAAATTGTTCAAATTCGACAGGTTTTTTTCGTTTTACTAATTCAAATAATGCATATAAATTTCATACAGATCAGATGATAACTTTTGTTGTTCAAAAGTTCACAAAGTTCAACAAAGTAAATCACGGGCCATAACTCTAGACGTAATTGACGGAAATTGCTGACATTCAATAGGCTTGTTCGTCTTCATTTCACTAATTTAGGTGATAACTGAAACTCAATAGGCGTGTTCGTTTTACTAATTTAAATGATACATATAAATTTCATACAGATCGGATAACTTTTGTCGTTAGAGCATTTACAAGGTACAACAAAGTGAAACAAGGGCCATAACTCACGGCGTAATTAACGGAAATTGCTGAAATTCAATAGGCTTCTTGATTTCACTAATTTAAATGAGGCATATCAATTTCAAACAGATCGGATGATAACTGTTGTCATTAGAGCGTTCACAACATTCAACAAAGTGAAACAAGGGCCATAACTCTAGATGTAAATAACGGAAATTGCTGAAATTCAAAAGGCTTCTTTGTTTTACTAATTTAAATGATGCATATGAATTTCATACAGATCGGTTGATAACTTTTGTCGTTAGAGCGTTCACAAGGTGCAACAAAGTGAAACAAGGGCCATAACTCCAGAAGAAATTAATGGAAATTGCTGAAATTCAATAGGCTTCTTCATTTCACTAATTTCACGTCTGTATTTTCTGTCTATTGGTTTAGTCAAATAATATTGTAAGCCAAATGTATTCACAATATGCTTATAAATGATACATTTACTTTATATACTATTCAAAAAAAGTAGGGGATATTTGATTTTGGGGGCATAATACTAAAATATGCAAATGACTACGAAAAAAGTCACTATAGAACCTAACAGAAGAAACATTTCCAGTTACATGTGACGCCCAAACGCACCAATAGCTACCGCATGGAATGCAGGTGATGCTTGGGATCATCATGGGGGTCCAACCCAAGATTTGCACGACTCTGACTTTGAATGTTACAGTCATTGTGGCATTGAATTCCAGGGTGGAAACATCAGTTTAATTGTTTTAGTGACCAGAAAACAAATTTTGATATGCGTCGGCTTTCCCAAAATGAAAGGTTACGTGCCCTTGGCATGCTACAGATCGGCACAACACGGGCGGTTGTGGCGCGGACGATGAATGTTTCTCAGTCTGTCATAAGCAGGCTATGGTCCAGATACCGTGATACACAATCTGTACAGGACAGACCACGCTCAGGTCGACCAAGGGCGACAACTCAAGCCCAGGATCGATTTATCCGTACCTTGGCCTTGAGAAATCGTGTCATCACAGCAAATCAGATCAGCGCTCGTCTTCAAACAGACACTGGTGTGAGAGTGAGTGGCCAGACGATTCGGAATCGACTGCATAGGGGTCACCTTCGCGCCCGACGTCCTCGCGTGATCCCTTGTTTGAGAGATCATCACATTCAGGCAAGACGTCGTTGGTGTAGGGATCGTCAACACTGGGATAATCGACGCTGGAGCAATGTGATGTTTTCAGATGAGTCAAGGTTCACTGTTGATTTTTTGGACAGACGTAGGAGGGTGTGGCGTCGTCGAAACGAGCGCTTCCAAGACGTTAACGTCATCAGACATGATCGATTTGGGGGTGGTTCTGTTATGGTGTGGGGAGGCATCACTGTTGCTGGAAGAACGGCTTTACATGTTGTTGCAGGGCGTGTTACAGGCCAGTACTACCGGGACAACATCTTGGCAGTCCATGTTGTGCCGTTCGCACGACGTCATGGCCGCCGTTTCATCTTCCAGGATGACAACGCAAGATGTCACAGGGCCAGGATCGTTACAGGTTACCTCCAACAACAGAACATCACCACATTACCTTGGCCAGCACTGAGTCCCGACCTCTCCCCCATTGAGCATGTCTGGGACATGCTTGGACAGAGGTTACGTCAACGTCAACAACGTCCTGCCAATGTCCAAGAACTTGCTGCTGCGTTGCAACAGGAATGGGGCAATCTGGACCAAAATGACCTTAGACGTCTCATTAGGAGTATGCCACGTCGGATCAATGCTTGTTTGGCAAACAGAGGAGGATTTACCCGTTACTGACTTGGTTGTGATGCCAATTTTAAAAAGTACCTTCTTAACATTCAGGACCCACGGGTCATTATTTATTAACATATTAGAGTAGCAAGAATTAAGTAAGACATTAGTAGAAGAACATATTTTAATCCAGTATTTAAATATTCGTAATTTTCTCGTAATGCTTAAAGAAAAACGTCAAAGTTCATAATAGATCATGTGGGAATTTGTGGTTGTTCTTGTATCTAAGATTTTCCTAAGGTACCTTAAATGTATTTGTTCTATATCATGTCCCGAATGAAAACCCCATACAAAGCTTAGTTACAATATTAAAATAGTTTTCATAACAAACTTTTGAGACTGAGAAGAGAGCTTTTAGACCCTGTTCAGCAATGTGTTTTTGTATAATTAGATATTTACCATCAAATTTTTTTTTATCGGGCTGTTTCATCGCCCTTGTTATTATAATTAACTGAATTGTACTTATCGTTAAATAAACTGTTAAACATTTACTTATTGTTACATCAACAATAATGTATGGAATAAATAAGTTTTACTCATCAATTTTTGTCGATTACCGATCACGGCCAGGATTAGTTCACCGCTGTATATTCGTATTGTTTGTTAATTGGCGTTATGATTTTAGTTCTTAGGTCAGTTCACCGATGTTTTTGTAATAAAGTATACTCGTATTGTTTGTTAGTTTATGATGTCTAACATCATTTATTTTCTTTATAAAAAAAGGTATTTTATAATTACATATTGACAGCTTAATCACTCGCCAAAATACATCATGGACTCTACGTATTACCCAATAATCAACTAAATTGTACAGGGGCCCCCAATCAAGTGATTACGCTGTCTGAAAATGGGCGACAGCTTGTCAATAGAGATTGACAGTGTCTTTTTATGGCGTCAGTCTAATGTACAGTCTCGCGAGATTATCGCACTTCCATTGTAAGCTTGACTTATGACCACGTGTACATATGGAAGACTAGTTAATTCATTTGTGATTTAAAAAAGATACATTACCTGGGATGTGATTTACCGATTTCCAATTGTATAATTACCTGGGACGTCATTTACCGATTTTTGATTTATTTGTCAATGGTGGAATACTAAGTTTATAGGATAATGGATAATATATAATACTACGACCACCGTAAGGTGATCATCTATGGGTGTGCATTTTTTTTTATATTCCCCTTTTTTATTCACACTTCATATGTAAATAATCGTAATCAAAATTAACCGATCGGATAAACGGCTCGCTGCAAATTAAAAGGTTCATCTAATTTTTCAACGCCGTAGATAATTAATCGTGTGTTGATTTTTCAATGAATCTCGGGAAAGTAAACGGCTTGTCTAATAAGTAAAGGCCGTAGATAAATAAACCGTGTGTTGATTTTTCAACGTATCTCGGGAAAGCAGACGGCTCGTCTAATAAGTAAATGTCGTAGATTAGCGAACGGGTCGGCCATTTTTAAACGCCTCTCGAAGAAACTAAACCTGTTACCATTAAACTAAGCCATAGTACTAACTAACCCATTTATGTAATTCTTTAACGATTTTTATCAATTATCGAACGATGTTTTGAAAGTAAACTCTATGCATACTTTCCAGCGCTAAAAAATGAGTTCTAACCAATACCAAATCCCTAGTGTTGCCAGTATAACAATAAACCTGTTGCATCAATATACTGATTAATACAATCCTTTACCTTCAAAGAAGTAAAGAAATAGTTTTAGTTGAGAGGACTGAAATGACTATAACCTGTAGGATTAATAAGATGTACAAACCTTCTGACTCGATGATGTCGCCTGCGATTTCCATCTCCGTCATCTTCACTATCAGAACTAATTGTAATAACGCTATTAGCCGGACTAGGTGAATCACGTATCACAATAGTTTGACGCTGATCTGGGGGAACATGTGATCTTAAAGCTGACCAATCAGAGATGTGTAACATCTCATCTCGTGTCTGATGGTCAACTTGTGGTGGTGTGCTTTCTTTGACCCGTTTCTTTACAGGTGACAGTTGTGTGGACGTCACTTCCTTGTTATTTCTATACAAAAATAAACATCAATGTAATATAATATGCAAGTCTTTTGTAAATAGAAATATAAACATTTTCTCACATTCCTGTGTACAAACTGGGTAATTAGATGACATATTTGGACTAAAAACATATTCAAACTTATTAATCTATCAAAAATTAATCTATCTCAAAAGATAGGTTGCCAGGCAACGAAACAAACGCCCATAGCAGCTATATTGTCCGGGCAGTCAACAAGAGTTGTCACATATTTTTACTTTTTCCGGTAATGAAACATTTATAATACATTAAAATCTGATTAAGACTAAGAGTAACAACTCATTAAGTAATTATCAGAAAACTATTAGAATTTGTTGGGTTTTTATAAAGTTTGGCCCCATGCTAACGTTTAGTATACGAAACTTTTAACATCATGGATTTAGCTGTTCAAGTCATAAAGATTCATTGAAAATCAATATACTTGTTCGTCTCAAGACCTTAAACTCTGTGTATCAATCTGAAGTCAATCGGATGATAACTTTAGCCTCTAGAGCGTCACAAGATTTTTCAAAGTGATCAAGGGCCATAACTTTAGTAGTAATTATCCAAACTCGTTGAAAATCAACATGATTCTTCATCTCATGGCCTCAAACACTGTGTATAAATTTAAAGTCAATCGGATATTAACTTTGGCCTCTAGAGCGTCCACAAGATTTTTCAAAGTGATCAAGGACCATAACTCTGGCAGTAATTATCGGAAATCATTGAAAATCAATAGGATTCTTCGTCTCATGACCTTTAACACTGTGTATAAATTTAAAGTCAATCGGATATTAACTTTGGCCTCTAGAGCATCCACAAGATTTTTCAAAGTGATCAAGGGCCAAAACTCTGGCAGTAATTATTGGAAATTGCTAAAAATCAATAGGCTTCTTCATCTCATGACCTTAAACAATGTGTATGAATTTAAAGTCAGTCGGATATTAACTTTGGCCTCTAGAGCGTCCACAAAATTTTTTGAAGTGATCAAGGGCTGTAACTCTGGCAGTAATTATCGGAAATCGCTGAAAATCAATAGGCTTCTTCGTCTCACGACCTTAAACACTGTGTCTAAATTTAAAGTCAATAGGATATTAACTTTAGCCTCTAGAGTGTCCAAAAGCAATTGTGGACGCCGGACCGACGGACGGATGGAGAGACGGGGGCGACGACAATATACAACCTAAAGTTTCAACGTTTACTTGTAAAAAATCATGGAATAAATATTATATATCTGTACACGATAAAATTTAATGTTAAATCAAAAATAGCGGCTGCCAGGCAGGAACACCCGCATTTTGCAAGAGATGGATAGAGAACAAGCTAAACAAAAAGTGATTTTTCGAACAATCATGGGCCATAACTCAGGAAGTTATGATCCACAATCTTATACCATAATATTTATACTATTTGCATACGTGGGTTCACGAATTTCAAACTCAACCATCATTAGAGTGTAACGGTGATATACTAAAACGTTTTTTTAAATCGAATAAAAATTGTGACCTCTAGAGGGACCACAATCGTACAATCAGGGGACATAATTCAGGAAGTTATGATCCGATATGCGCAAATATAGAAAGCAAACAAGATCTTTGGATTATAAACATGCATTTCAAGTTTCATCAAAATCAGAACAAAATTGTGACCTCTAGTGAGGGTCCACAACCTTGACATACCAGATGTTTACACTATTTGCGTAGGAGGGCGGCCATTTTGTCTGGCAGTTTTCGTCCAATTTTCACAAAATTCGAATTCAACCAACATTATGGTGTAACGGTGATATATTCAAACAGTTTTTCAAATCAGATAATAATTGTGACCTCTAGAGGGACCACAAGCTTAAAACGCGATTTTTCGTACAATCAGGGGCCATAATTCAGGAAGTTACGATCTGATATGCGCAAATATCAAGAGCAACCAAGATCTTTGCGTTATAGACATCCATTTCAAGTTTCATCAAAATCGGATCAAAATTGTGACCTCTACAGGGTCCACAATCTTGATATACCATATTTTTACACTATTCGCGTACAAGTGGCAGCCATTATGTCTGTCAGTTTTGGTCCGATTTTCACGAAATTCGAAGTCAGCCTTCATTACAGTGTAATGGTGATATAATCAAACTTTTTTTTTTAAATTGAATAAAAACTGTGACCTCTAGAGGGACAACAAGCTAAAGCACGATTTTTCGTACAATCAAGGGCCTTAATTCAAGAAGTTATGATCCGATATGCGCAAATATCGAAAGGAACCAAGACCTTTGGATTATAAATATGTATGTCAAGTTTCACCAAAATCGGTTTAAAATTGTGACCTCTATAGGGTCCACAAGCTAAAAACGTGATTTTTTGTACAATCAGGGGCCATAATCCATGAAGTTTCGATCCGATACATGCCAATATCAAAAGCAACCAAGATCTTTTGGAGATAAACCTATATTTCAAGTTTCGTCAAAATCGGATAAGAACTGTGACCTGTCGAGTGTCCACAAACAAATTGTGGACAGAAGTTCGGACGGACGTTCAGACGGAGAAGGGTGACGACACGTCCACATGAAAATGTGGGCGTATAAAAAGAGTGTTACTGTTATTAGCATTATAGTTCGGAGGAAGCGGACGTAAAATACAACTAACTAACAACAATATTAGCATTATTATACTCAAGTAACTATACAGTAACCAATAAAAATATATACTCATAACTATTCTATTTATATAAAGTGATATATATTGAATTTAAAGTTACCTTTGTTTTGTTTGTCGTTTACTACTAGTTTGAGCTGATTGTCGTGAGGACAGACCATAGTTTGAAGGCACCATTCCAATATTCCAGGCTTGTGTAGAGGAATTCTGTACGAGAAATCAAAGAAACAACTATCAAGTTAAAATCGCCAAACTCGATTGTTCATTTTTCAGATAATATTATATCTAAATTTTCAGTTTCATCCATGCTAAAATTACGTGGTAATTAAAAAAAACAAAATGTCAATGGTAAATTATCTCCTGGCTTTGGTTGCCTTGGAATAAGGGAGGCCGATCAAAAGAATGTACTCAACACTTATAGGTGATGCTTTCTTATCTATATTGTCCATATGTATTATAAGCTCCATGGTTAAATGTAGCAGAAATTTCCAATTCATCATATCTTTCTAAATACGGAATTAAACCATTTTTAGACTCGTATTCATTTAAGACATTACGACTTTTACAATATTTTAGTTTGCCATCAGCAGCTTTAAAAATATTTATTAGCCTCCCCAATATACTTTACTCAGGCCATCTACCAATTACCACACTTTATAAAAGACAATTATCAATTAAACATATATAAATGAACACATGTAGACAAATAATATGGTAACAACACTGGGTGAAAAGGTATAAACTTACAAGAGGTAAGACTGAGGGTTGGTCAAATGCTGTGTCCCCTACCATAATAGATTGTCTCCATGATTCACCAGCTGTCAGAGTATCAGGTAGTACCTGTTGTACACTGCGCTGGGTACTGATGCCTGGTAATTGTGGCCATGAACCCATCAATACTTGACGACTAGCTGGCCAGGAATTAATTGGGGGATTCTGTAATATTAAAATCTATTGTGTAATAATATTACAACCATAAAAATCTTGCCAACTAGCATAAAATTACAAGATACGTACAAAATGTTATTAAAACTACCAAACAAATCCTGATACAACAGATTATAAACAGTACAAAATAGTGACAATTTTGTCTGCATTTTAATTATGCAGTTATTTCTAAACAGAAAATATCTGTGACAACTGACAAGAGAAGTTGTGTCGAGCAATGACAAAAATATTTTCAGAAAAGACAAATTAATAAACTACAAAAAAAACTTCTCTATATGTAAGTATTTTTGGACTAGTAAAGAACATAAACCAGTGGTTGCCAGGTAAGATACGCCCACATTTTGTAAGAGATGGATAGAGAATAAGGTAAAAACAAAAGCAAGTTATGGTCTGAAATGCGCAAATATCAAAAGGGACTGAGATCTTTGGGATATGAAGATATATTTTAAGTTTCATCAAAATCTGATAAAAATTGTGATGTCTCTAGAGTGTCCACAACCTTCGTATTACAGTAGAATCTGTATGAGCAGCCACTCCTATTCAGCGACATCTCCTTGTAAGCGGTCACGATAAATTCCCCCCGTAAAAATTTTGTTGTTTCATCTCTTTTTTCAACGGTCACTCCTGTAATGCGGCCACTAATCCCGTGAGTAGTAGTTAATTAACTGGACCCCCACTGATCAGGTAAAAAGAAATGTAAAAATAACAATCAACCTGGGATTATCTATTAATTAATCTTTTGTTTTATTAAACAACTAACCTGATCATTGTTTTCACGCGTAACAACACATTATTTGATACAGATTGAATAAAATAAAAGTACCGCGTTTTGTCACGATCATCTAGTATCTTTATCGTTAAACAGACGTTTTAGCGCCTCCTATAATATTACATACAGAGTTACACCCCCTGTAAATAGGAGATAAAATTAGCGATGTTTTTTTGTTCATGTGCTTTTTTGATAAAATAAAATTAATTCATCGATTTTCTTCACAAAAATGGATAAATATTATCAAATGCATCACAATGGTAGACAGTAGTATCGAAGGTTGGTACAAAATAACAAGTTTACAGTGAATTAAAAGCAGATTATTTAATCCCTGTACTAGGATTAAAAATAAAATTGCATTTAAAAAGTTATAAGTTGAATTCTTTCATCAATTCTTTCCATGTAGTTTCAAGTGGATCTTCTTCCTGGATTGGTGAAGCTTCTGTAATTTCATTGAGAAATGCAGGGGTAACTCTATCAAGATCTAAATTCAGTAGATCAATGTCTGGTGTGGAAAAAAGATTGGTTTGATCCGAGTTAGTAGTAGATAGTGTTGGCCGACGGCGGGCCTCAAAAGGTGGGACCCAGGTGGTGGGTGGTACCGGAATGCAGCTCGGGGGTAGATAAAATGTTATCTTCTTTTTCTTAGTGGAAGTGCTTTTCTTGGGCTTCTCTGTTTTCTTTTTCTTCAAAAATTTAGCTTGAAGATACTCTTCTTTTTCATCTCTGCTGTCTAGATGATGGATGTTTTTACGATGTTTGTATAGATTATGTCTTCTGGAAAAAGTTGTCTCACAGAGACTACATCGGGAGGTGGCATCCATCTTGTCTAATAATTTGAAATATGTTTGAAAAGAATGATTAAGCTTGTTTGTTGAGTCCACCAGGGCTGGTTGTTGCTAGCAACAATTTGTACCAAAAGGATTAAATCAGAATAAAACCCTTCCACAAACTCCTGATTCTCCAAATCGCTTCCAAATCCGTTGGGAAGCAGCGCATCAAAACTTTGGCAAAGAACTTACCTTCATACTATTAGTTTACTGGAATAATCATAAACTTAAAATCCAGAAAGAATTAGAAGAAGTCACCAAAGAAATCTGCAAGTAGACGCCAGTGAAGAAAATAAGGAACTCCTCTTTTCCATAATATCCAACGCAATAGAAGATTTCAAAAGAAGACCGAAAAATGCCAAGAAAATTCCAGAAAATAAGTCTGAATGAAACAGAATTAAACCAGTTAATTGTTATCCCACTTTCAAAGACTCATCTAGAAGCTTTATCTTTAGGCCTTAATCTTATACATACACCGTCCACAACAACGGACTGCAAAATTTTCGAAAGAACCCAGGGCTAGAAATTCGTCATTTTTTGCGAGAATCTAAGAGGATTCTCATATATGGCATCTGTGTGAATCCTCCGAATCTTAATTAATAATACTGTCTAAAAAACAAAATTGTGTTTATTGTGTTAATCTAAAACATCAAAATACAAGAACAATGATAAAAATAGAACAATCATATGGATTTTTTGGTAAACACTTAAATAGTGTCAAAAGTGATATCCAGAAAATGCCTTAGTCAAAATAAGTTGATATGGTACCATGGCATTTCTTCATAGCACAATTCGTAGTCTTTTGTCCATCACGTAACTAGTCACGTAACTTGCAAAAGTTTTTATTCATTCGTCGATAATAGACAAACGGCACAATGATCACGTGACAACCACAATTGAAATTGCTATAAAATAAAATTTGTACAACTATGATATAGCTTCAATAATATTTTAAAAATTAAGCCTGTCAGCATGTGTATAAACGCTATTTAGATCTGGTTTATTGACCTAATTCCAACCGATGGCGATATGTCACGTGTCATAGGAATTCAACATTTGAGATTCTATTGGGAAAATACCCACTGTTTCTCTTTCTGTGTATTCGGTGTTCTACCAGGGGATTATATTCAATGAAGATTTAAATTTACCTAACAACTGGTCAAGGAATCCATCAATTTATGATCCAGTTATTATTCTTATATCTACCTGTACCTGGAATTCACAGGGACGGAGCTTAGAAGACGTGCAATTTGCAGACCATGCCGTGATAGTCTTTATTCGCCATGTGGAGTATAAAATTTTTACTGAACCTTTTAATTTTTTTACCGGATTGTCAAAATCACCGTTAAATGTGCTAACTGCTTGGATTAAGAACCATATATGGGGTATGACTGTTGTTGTCCGACAAGCAAGTTGATTGACTTTTTTTTATTAACAAGTAATAATTACCCTGTTGTAATTTAGCCTAAAGTAGATTGATTTATGATACCATATATTGATGGATTCATTGTTTTACCAATGGCTAGATTAAATGTCAGTCGGCTAAAGCCGACAAAATACAGCCGATACTGACCGACATTCAATAGTCGGGACTCGACAATTCTCCGAGATTTCTTTTTTTTTTTTTAGAAAATTTTTACGCGAATCCTTGTAGATTTGCAACGTAAGCTCTTGCGAGAATCCTTGCGCGAATCAGATTTGGAGATTTGCGTGAATTTCTAGCCCTGGAACCATCCGACTTAATCATTTCCATAGAAATAATCTCAGCAGCCCGAATTATGCACCTCATCCGTTTGCCAAACCTACCGGATGGACCCCACCGCCAACCAGATGCCAACCGCTAGAAGAATTTATTCACATCACCCAACATAATATCAGAGAAATCACACCAAGAAGATTACACACAAATTGCTACACTCAAGCCGTGAGAGAATTAGGAAAAAATATGGATATTATTATCAGAAAAGCAGACAAGGGTGGCAAGATTGTCATCCTTAATAAAACTGATTACATTAAAGAAGGACTGTGCCAACTCAACAATTCCAAATTCTACAAAAGTCTAAAGTCTAACTTTAAAAATTAATGAAGAAATAACTAGATTCCTCAACTATACATGTAAAAACAAACTATTAGATCCGGACACCATAAAGTACCTCAAAACCAAATACCCCAAAACTCCGGTGTTCTACAAGCTACCAAAGATTCATAAGCCTAACAATCCTGGACGACCGATCGTATCAGCGGTCAATTCACCTACGGAAAAACTTTCTCAATTTTTGGATTACCATCTTAAAGAAGAAGTTAAAAAAGCCAACTCTTTTATCCAAGACACCACTGATTTTCTACGGAAGATACGAAACATTCCGAAAAAATATGCGATAAAACTTTTCTGTGCATGGCAGATGTCACCAGTCTCTACACATCGATACCGCACAACTTAGCCATGACTACTTGCAAAAAAGCCTTACAAAACCGAGAAGATAAAACAGTTCACTCTTGGATTCTACTTAGATTCCTGAATTTTATCTTAAAGAAAAATTGTTTCATTTTCAACAACCAATATTACCTACAAAACCAAGGAATAAGTATGGGAACTAAAGCCGCCCCCAGTATAGCCTGCATTTTTATAACTGACCTAGAAGAATCATTTTTAGAAAACACTACCAAAAAAACCCTTAGTCTGGTACAGATATATAGATGATATTTTTTTCCTGTGGCCCTCTAATGAACAGGGTCTGTTAGACTTCATAGAGGAGTTCAACAACATCCTACCGTCAATCAAACTCACCCTTGGGTACGACCTAAAACAGATTAACTTCTTACTCTTAGATGTTACTATATACAAAGATATCCACAACCAACTTCAAACCAAAGTCTATTCTAAACCTACAGGCAGCTTCATGTACCTCCACTACCTAAGCTGCCATCCATTACATCAGAAACGTAATCTACCTTACAGCCTAGCTCTACGAATTTGATGATTTCCAGTAACACTACCAATAGAGAATTATCCTTAAGACACTGTCGGATACAGTTTCTTAAAAGAGGATACACCTCACTTCTAATCAATCAATCGTTCGATAAAGCCCGCTCAATCAACAGGGACGATCTACTCAAATATAAGGATACAATTACTACTAAATCCATCTCTTTCGTAACCAATCTATTGCAGGTCTTTCTTTAGGCCTGAAATGTTATCTAAATTATTAATTTGACATTAATTAACTTATCCAGACCATAATCAACTCTAGATGGCATCGCTAGCCTGCGATCTTAAGTGGATTGTGAGCCGATTTACTGCATAATTTTCCTTCTCGATTAAACGATTAAATAAATAATCGAGACTATGCTGTTTATCGTACTGACTTTAGTAATGATGACCGAGGCTA